CAAAACCTTTGTCGGCTTCAATTTCAAACAAGTGAAACAACGGAAAGGAAGCTTCGAGGAGATTAGACGGTTCAACATTGTTGATCTGATAAAAGTGATGGTCAGGGAGGCGGAAAAGATTTTTGTTGCAAGTTTTACACAAATTAAATCGTGGTAAACCCTTTAGTAGTCCGCTCGTTTTATGCTTAGATACCTTCCCAAGTCTACTGTTCCATGATACCATCAATGAGCTTTATTAATTCATTGTCTTTGTAACGTCTCTCACGATATGTTAAAACTGTGCACTTGTCGATTGGAAAGAAAATTCAGAGGTGAGAATTAAATCTAAAATTTTGAGTAAATAGCTTTAGCTTAATGTATAATTTTTCAATTTCTGGATTTTGTAGTAATCATTCATTGATCGTAGACAATCATATTTTTAAAACATATCTCATGTCATTTGTTGACTTTACTATTACCATGAAAACTTTTTATAACTGTAGAATCTTAAATGTTGTGATTCGCTTTAGTTGTTTCCCTTTTCACTTCTCGGTGCATATAAGACCCAAAAGTGAAAAAACTGAATTTATTTACAAGAAAACGAATTGATGAGGTGAGGCATACCCAAACTATTGAAATTATGTCTTCAATGTTTACTAAAAAAGTTTAATGACTGCCTTTATACTGTTTCTTCAACTTACCTTCCGTTAGATTTGGATATTTATGCATATAAATAATTAAGACATGGAATTTGCAAATGACATGCGTCCGACATTCTTCGGTGTAACGCATTTCAGTTATATGTATCTTGGGGACATGGTTCTCTGGTTTTCTGCTATGGGTAGAACTAAGAACTGCGAATGGCCATTTCTCCCATTTCAGTTTAAAAGGAAAAATGTTTCCATAAAGAACATACACTTGCGCGTCAACTACAAATATATAACTTGCATGCATACAAAATTATATGTTGACCCTCTCCTCTACCGGAATCTCGTAAAAGGATGGATTTCTTTTATATAAAGTTATCAAAATTGGTTGCAAATTAATATAATATGATTTTACTAATTACCAACTAATATATCAAAATCATAAGCCAGGTTCACCTCCTCCTCTTCCTTCCTTTTCCCAGTTGTCCAGATTTAAAAGCATGCTCTTGTTCTTGAAGGAAAGCCTTTGCTCTTCCATACTTCTCTGCTCTTTCTTCATTTAGTAAAGCCTTCTCTTTGTCCCTCACGTCATACAAGAAAGTACTGTCCTTTCTTAATTCACTAGCAGCCCTCTTAGACTCACGTTTCCATTCTTTATACAATTTCCTCCTTTGGGCTCGTTCACGATCTGGATCATAGTCTCTACCCTTAACAAAGCTGCATGGCATATTTGACATTTAATAATTAATAAACGCTTGATTTGTGCCCCTTTTATAATAAGCTTGTTTAATATCAAAACCTGAGCAATGAACAGATATAGAACTTACTTCTCCTCAAACTTTGGATTCAACAGCTTGATTGGTTCTGGTTTTTTCTTCCGCATTTGAAGTGGTCGCCTTGTAGCATGATGTTCATCCACTTTCGACTTAATCAGCTCAGCAACATCTTTAATTGTATCACGTAGTGCATTTGGGATGTTTTTCTCCTTTTCTACTTGACTTAATGACGTCAAAACTGGTAAAAAGATTTCAGGAAATGAACTTAAGCTGTCATAGATATTGACAAAGCCTCGTAGAGTTTCAAGAACTGCAACCAATGCACTCGCCCTGTAATTAAAATAGTTAAGGTTAACCAAGCTATAACCGTTACCGACAAAAGAAAATATTAATATTCAACTTAAAGCAGATAAAAGAGATTAATATTTGCATGATCTAGCATACATGCATTATTTGCGATTATATCTGCAAGGTCAAATCGAAACGATCAAATGTTGACAATGCAACTCGTGCCCAAAGACATTGGATTCTTAAAAGAAAGCATAATTATATATGAAAGTGAAGATCTAGAAAACCTAGAAAATGTCTAATGATGCACAAAATTGTGTAGTAAAGAAAACATGGCGCTTTAAGCACATTTAACCCCTAGACTATAACCTAATTACAATATTAGTATCTAAACTTCAAATTTAAAACTTTGCTCTCCCTAAACTTGCTGAAAAGTGAGACCGTTGTCCACAGACTGAATTTAATGTTTAATAGCACATGTTGAGTAAAAGACAAACATCCCTTCAAATGAATCTAAGTACTCTCGACAGTCAAATGTTTAAGTTCGACAGATGGTTCAGGGGACAAAATGTTGTTTTCAAGTTCAAATACCAATATCGTATGCCATCATCATAATTGGATAGTTTACCTGAAATCATCTGAAGAGAAGAAAGAAGAGTCCTCTGGAGTGTCAATCATCTTTATGAAATTCAGAGGACTAATCTCATTTATCGCCTCTTGCATGCACAAGAGATGCTTGGGAGCTTTCAATTCCACAAGTTGATAAAACTGGAATAAGACAAAATAGTCATTAAATATGCACCCACGAAATTCGATTACCTTCTCGAAACTTACAACACATCTCAAAACCAAATAAACACCTAACTTAGGATGCAGCTAGGTTATAGATGTGGTCAAGATTTTACGTGTCTGTTTCTCAATGGAGCCGGTATGGGACACACTTTATTGGAAAAGTTAATGATTTCCCTCAATTCTTTTAGTGCTATTTTGAATACAAGAATACAATTCATGTGATTCCTTGAATTATAGTTTAATCATTTCTGTGTTTGGACTTGTAATCTTAAGACACATTGCTTGAATCGCATCTCAAAGAATTAAACGACCCTTTTTCCTCACCTCCCTAATTAAAAACGACCCTTCCTAAATGCAGAAATTGGATTGCTAATTTGCAGAAATAAAAAAAAAAAAAAAAGTAAAGTTAGTTATTTGTAAAAATTTGTAATGGTTTCTCTAAGATACTCATTTAACCGTTTGCATGGAAAACTAGTCTCATTAATGGAAACCTTCTTTTGATATGCATAATTAACAAGGATAGGTTGGGAAAACTTGTCAATTTGAAATGCAATGTGGATTGAGTCTTACATTTTGGACCAAAACAAACCCCCAACTAGCCTTTATATTGGACCCGAGGGAGCATATCATTCACACATATTTTCAGCATTAAAGTATGCTTCAAATTGTAGTCAATGAAGTATGAAGTCATACCTGTGAATCTTCATCCGAAAAAGATTTTTTTTCAGTAGCCATCACCAGCATAGTTCTAAGAAAAATTATGGCTTCAGGACAGAACTTCCGCGACTGTTTAAATATCTGTAATTCAAATTAAGTACATGAGCAAGTCGCAACCGCAATAATTGCAAAAAAGGTCAAGAAACATCACTTCAGCAACTCAATCATTATGGAAGTATACTGTTAGAAAATAAAAAGAAAAACAAAATGAATAGCAACAGAATTATTTGCATAACTTCTAAAAGTTTAGGCAAATTTAATGTGAAGTGTTAAATATTTGAGAGGTTATTTGCACGTAATATAAAATATAGGGGGTCACGTATAATTTAGCCAAAAAAAAGTTTAAAGGGTTAGTCTGACAGGAAAAGTTGACAACATTCAGATTATAGCACCTTTTAAGAAAACCAACTCCAGTTCTTATTTAAACTGCCTAGCTAAAATAACTATAATACAATAATCATCAGCATTCAAATTATAAAACACTAAGATCATGATAAAATCAAAAAATTTTACACCAGAATATTTTGCTGATGTCAAATACAGAGAGCACAATATAAAGGCGACAAATGAAACATCTTGCTTGAAGATATACTTACAGAGAGAAGCATGGAGCATAAGAAAGCACCAATGGCAGCATCCCGACCAGACAATATTGGGCAGCGCATCAGATATTCACACATCAATAGTATTGCCAGTGTCATAACTGGATGCCGAAAGTCAGTGCATGGAAATATCAAGGACCACAAGCGCAAAAGAAACAACATCTTGGAAGAAGGCCAACTGCTACTTTCTGAAGAACAAGAAGTGTCACAACAAGCATCTAAGGAGTTCACGTTCTTGTTAATTGGCAACACAAAATATGCAACCATTACATCTAATTCTAACCTGGGTTCTTTAAGCTCTGAACCAATTGTTTTCTCGCCCTTTCTATTCTTTGGCGAGCACATATTGTAGCAAAAAATGGAATCTCCATGCTCATTTCTATCAATGGCTTCCCCATCAAATTTAGTAACTCAAAATTCAATGGCTTTTTATTTGCCATAACAGCAAAATACTGCAGCAAATTGCCATAAAATACCTGGAAAGAGAAGCCATGTCATAAATATTGACTATATAATGAATTTTCTAATAATTGTGAATCAGAACTTCATAATAAATTATTCAGAACAGCATGTTATTGCCCAAGTGTGCAAAGTTAGTCACAGTGCAACCTCAGATGGTAGAAGAAGAACAGCCTCAAGAAAATGTATCACAACCATAAGCTATCCCTTTGCATATCCATAAAGGACAACCCCTGTCCTATAATAAATTACTGAATCTTGGTAGGCAAAAATAAATTAACTCCCAAAGATGTGGCGAGATCTGTTACTCTGTTCTAACAATAGACTTAGCCAAAAAGCTTTAATTTGCTCATCTTCCACAAAATGTGGTGCACTGGTTTTGCCTTGGATCACTGAAGAAGTCATAGGCTACCCATAAACCTGTCAATTTTATCTCAACTAGAGATGAATCCATGGTCGTCTTTGTTGAAAGTCACGAATGAAGGCCCATGATACTAGACATTTTAATATTTAATATCTAGAGTTTAATGCTTAATATTTAATATGTCTTATCTTCTAGAGTGATTATATAGATTTAACCTAGAACTATTAGAGCTAGAGGGGCAGGCTTCTAGCCTCAAAAGCTCTATTTATACCTCTGATTCTGAATAAAATCATACAAATCCAGAAACTACATTCAAAGCTCAGCTGTTTTCATCAGTCTTGTTAAAGTAACCAGGTCTCTGTTAGGGGAACACAATAACATGCTTCAAGACCATAAACGTACAGATATTTACTATAAATAATGATGTAAGCACATGTTAAAGAGCATAACAAGTCTCCGCTGGCCTATTCTATTAATAAATTAGTTTGAACCACCCTATAGTGGCTTCCTTCAAGAAAGCATACACTGAATCAGTTAGCAGAAACTTTTTAGCCACTACACCACAGACTCTAGATGAAGTCCATTGATACCTTCACATGCAAGTGTCAGCACTAGCACAAGCATGAAACACAATATGATGGATAGTGGAGAGGAGAGGAGAGGAAGAAGAGATCAGAGAGAGGAGGAAGATGCTAAAGCTAAAACTGAATTAGTGCACTGAGATTGCTCAACAAAAAACATAACTAGATTTACAATTAACCCCCTATATAGAGAGCTAGGCCCCTGAATCTATAATGGCTATATTCTATTAACGACTAATAACTCATTTTTTGTTAATTACAATTTACACATCGGTTTAAAATCCATAGGCTGTCATATCAAATTTATAAAGTAATGTTACTCAAGCGATGAAGCATAACCGTTAAAAGAACTAAGACTAACTTTGCAAGTCATTGTGCAAACAACATTAGTGTTCGAAAAAGAACTACAAAGCTGAAATTTTCCAAGAGCTTCCCCTCTAACTGCTACTAATGAGAGAAAACTAGTAATTTGATACAAGCATACCTATAATTATAATGGAAAAGGATATATTTACGTACTTGCATCTTTTTGCGGTTTTCTGCAGCAAGTTTGATTGCATTGCTTGCTCGGATTCGGTTAATAACCATGACAATGTCAGAATTTGAGCAGTTATCAAGCAATGAACATAGTTCTTCAAAGGTTTTAGGAGCTTCAATTATATAAGGAATGTCCGACTTTGCTGATGATTTTTTAGCCCCTAAATCCATCTTGGAATCTGAATAATCCCCATCCTTTTTAACACTCTGTACATTATCTTTTGTCCTTGCCTTTATAAGAAGGGTAGTATCCATTTTCTTCTCAGCCTTGACTCTATCATGCTGCTCTGCTTCTTTCTCTTTCTCTTCATCATCGTCACTATCTTCTTCTCTTTCATCCTCTAAATTTGGCTCAATATCCTCATCATCACTTTGTTCCCAATCCTTCAAAGAAAGATTATTTTCATCTTCATCAGGATCCTCATCAGAACCTTCATCCGCATCTTCAGAGCTTTCAGAATCATCAGAAGCATCACCATCCTCACTAGCAGAATCTGCTGCATTTTCTCTTTCAAGGATCTCATCAATCCAGCCCTTTTTTCTCACAGTTTCTTCATTAACAGAAAAGGAATCACCGAGGTCATCCCCAGAGAGCAACTTTGGTTTGTCTTCTTGTGGATTTTCTGAATTTCGATCATCTTCATCACTTGAATCCTCAGCAGCAGTCATCCTCTTCTGTCTCTCTTCCTGAAATTATGGTGTTGATACAGGTTAAAGAGATTAAATAGTTGAATCCAGAGAACAAACACGTCCATGGCAGCCCATAAGATATTGCCATAGACTGATGTCACCCTGGAATCATATCAATGCTAAGAATAAACAGCACAATGTTAAAAGTCATCCATTTTTAAAAGGCAAAGACAATTCCTGATACAGTCAATTCAAGTTGAAGAGTCCCTTCAAGAAATAATTTATATAAAAGCCAGCATTGCCAAGCACAGGAATTGATTTATATATTAAAGCCCCACATTGCCAAGCCTAAGGAATTTATAAACACCTCTAATCGCTCCAAGCGTTCTCTTTCCTCTTGAGCAATCTCTTCTGGAGTCTTTGTCCTGTCTGAGGGGCGAGCTCTAATTTCCAAAGCCAATTCTTTGACAAGTTTGTCATAAGCATCAGGTTTTTCCTGCCATGAAGAATAAATAGGATATTAGTATGTTACAACAAGAGGAAGCTCTCAGGGCATACAAGAATCCTCATGAATAGGTACCTCCATAGGAGTATTTATCTTCTGAGTGCCAGATAAGCTATCTTTGTTGCTAGGTTCAATCGTAATACTCTTATTCACTAGAGCCCCCAAGGAATTCATCTTCCTGGGTTCAGTCAGAGATAATAATGCTTTAGACTGAATTAAAGCAGTAAATTTCTGATCCAAATCTTCCAGCAACTGTTCATTTTCTTCCTTTTCTTTTGCTTTCTGGGCCTGGAACATATTAGAAGAAAAAAATATGTGAGCCTATATAGATTATAAATAAAGCAAGAGCCATCACTAAAGAAAATTGCATACCTTGAAAAATTTGCTTTTTGAGATAATTTCGTCCATAACCTCCTTCTTGCTTTTATGTTTCTGGAGGTTATAAAAGTATTCATTAGAACCGATGCAGTTGTAAAGGAGGTTATACCTTGAAAATGGCATATTGAATACACATCACCTCTCATATGCATAATGCCTTCATAAGAGAGAAAAATGCAATAAGCTCAAGAAGAAAAGAGGGTCTTACATTTGGCTCACCCTCTTCTCCAGAAATCCTCGTATTATTATTAATATCAACTACAGATGAATTGTCTGCAAAATCAAAATGAAACTCATGCCATCAACATGAAAGCTTAAGACATAAGATTGTAATATACCCCCAAGAATAAAATGTAATATCCAATGGACGTATAGCATCTACCCTGAAAAGAAACAATACTCGTAGTAAAACAATATTAATGCATAATTTAGAGTTAGTTGAATAAATATTTACATGATTATGAAAATGAGATTTTAAAAAAATGAACCCAAATTGTTATGAAATTGTTTTGTGGTCCCACTTTAAATTGAACACTACAATGAGAAGAAAGCAAACCTCATTAGGGGTCACGCCAAAGGTTTTTAGATTTGTCCCCTTTTGTAAAGCGTGTTAAGGGGGCACCAAATATACAGGTGAAAACCACTTTCAATTATTAACACCCATCCAAGATAAACAAATGTCAAACAAATGTTACATACTCTCAGTTTCACCGGTTTCAACAGCATCATCATCATCAGAGACCATTTCATCCTCAAAATCATCTCTTTCCGGTATTTCAAGACCCTCGTCATCATCTTCTTCTCCGTCTGACAAGTTATACTTGCTTTTCTTGTTCAATTTTGAGCGCAACTACATAGTCCAAGATAAAATTGTTAGAAAAGGACTACAACTCAATGAGGATCAGGATTTGAGCAAGCACAAGAGATTCCAGAAGCCTCCGCCATAGAATATTTTTAGATCAGAAAATAATACTATAAAGTACACTGGGAGCATAAGCAATATGCACAGAGCTACTTGTTAGACAACAAAGATAATTCACTAAGGCAAAACATTTTGGGCAGGGATAAGAAAATTTTGGCCCAAAAGTTTGAAGACGAACGATGAGCTCCTTTTACAATTATAAATTATAAATAAAAGAAATAACAGAAAAATAACATTAGTTTCCATAGGGCTTCGATGTTAGCAAGATCATGTTGGCAACATAAAACATGAAAATTCGATTATACAACATTTATTTGAAATTATCCATGTCCCCAAATCGTTAAGAAAGAGAAAGATACTTCCCAAAATACAATGCCTAAATGATCAAACTCATGGGTTTTGTAACCAACCCAAGGAAAAAGAAACACCTGGAATTCACGCTGTGATCTCAAAACAGCTTTGCCAAACTCATCAAGATCTTCATTTTTCTCTCCAATTCGCTTATCCACAAACACAGACGACTTCCCTCTCTGCTCATACTCCTTCAGCAGCGTTTTATTCCTCTACCAAGCCAGAAATAAGATAAGTTCACAACCGCAATATAAAACAGGAAAAAAAAAAAAAAACCATAAGACATGATTTCTCATGCTTATAGATACAGAGTAGCAAACAAAACGTTTATTCAATTCACAAAAAAATGCATTCCGATCAAGGAATCCACAAGCACTCCTCATGAGAATATCTAACAAAACGTTACAATAACAATAAAACAGGAAAGTAGTGAGCAAGCACTAACTTTCTCAATGCCACGAGAACGAGCCATGCCAACCCGCCGTTCTTCGCCTTTACGTTTCTTTCCCACTATGTCAAATTTTCTTCGAGACCAAATGGTCTCAAAAGGGTTTTCTTTGGGGGCCTTAACCTTCATGGCTACAACATCTGGAGCAACCTTGTTCTTCTTCTTGCTCTTTTTTGGGGTACCACGTTCCCGATTCGATGATTTCCCCATTGATGAGGGTGTTGGAGAGCACAAGGCTTAGGATTTTTGCGTCTGTTATAATAATGAACTCTCTGTCGCGTAAAACTTTCTCTTTGCTGTGTATGGTGTTTGGCACACCCTATCAAAGGTAGAGAGATGAGTATAATAACAGTTCACCATGAGAAAGAAATATATACTCTAAGACACAAGGAATGTGAGTTGCTAGAAATCATCATAATATAAATAATAGCTCCACTTTCATCCGCAGGCCATATGCAGGATCAAAAGAGTACGCACAAAGCACTATGAGATAAAACTAAAAAAATTTGATTCTTCTTTTTCAAAGTAGTATGTAACCCCCTCTTCTGTGTCGGACAGCACCTTACCTCTTCAAGCTTCAATGGTAAGGCGCACTAGATGACGGCAACAAAAGCAATAGATGTTGAAGATTTGTTCCACGGCAGGACGACAGGACCGGGTGCCGGCAACGCACACTAAACGCAGCAAACGTACAACAATTACCACACACACCCCAGACTCGACGACGACAGAGGCAGGGAGCAAAACCAAAAGTGGGAAACATGAGCATACGAGGGCACAGGCAAAACGCGGCCAAGTTTTTGGTTTTCAGAGGGAAACCATTGCAGTTGTTCTGGTCTTCTACTTTTGGTTTTGGGCTTCTTACTTTTTAAGTTTTGTTCCGGTCATTCCACCTAAATGGTTGGCAAAAAACTTCATTTCGGGTCCTGGCTTCACAGTGGGTTCCCTTCCAAAATGGGCTTAAAAACTATCCAAACTGGCCCGGACAATTTGGTCCAGCTCGATTTTCAGAACATTGGGCTTTTTGTGGTGGTAGAACAATTTGTCTATCATCTCCTGTAAAAAAAAAAGCCTTTATGCGATCGGGTCTTTACAGTGTCATTGACTTGTTGTATTAAAACTCACCACTGGTAAGGGAGTTGTGTCCCTTATCCATCGCCTCTGGGGTTCGATTCCTGGAGGGATGGGAATGGGGCAAATGTGTTTGGAAGGATCGCCTCCATCTTGGGCCTGACAGTACCTGAAGGATTAGTCATTGGGCTTACTCCGATGGATACCTTGGTGGAAAAAAAAAAAAAACTCACCATAAGCCACCAGGAGGTCTTATGAAAAGGATTAGTCCCTCGTAATCTGATGAACTAAGTTTGAATCCCGTTGAGGTATGACAAAGATTTTATAAACAACTTTCATGAGGGAAAAAACTTTAATATCAACTTATTAAAATTGGCTTTTTAGCTTCTCTTATGGTGTCATTTTATTTAGTGAAAATTATTAATAATAGGTCTCAGAAAATTAAATATAGACAAGTTCCTGAATTTCATATAATTCTAATAGGTTTTAAGGATTGAGTGTGTGTATAAATTTGACTTGTAATGACACAACTCAAATTATAAACATTAAATCTCTTTAGGCTTTTTTTTTTGGGACTTATTAATACTCCTCCGGTCCTAAATATAAGACCCTTATACACACTGTATAAGGGTCTTATATTTAGGACCGGAGGAGTATTAAATAACTGATTCCATGTAACCAACAGGGGTTGAGTCTAGTAGAAGGAGTTAGTCCCTCACAGTGTGACGAACTAGGGTTTGCGTCTTCACTGGGAGAGGTACCCACGTTTAGTTTAGATTTTTTTTGTTATGGCTACTAAAGTACAAATATTACCAGCTCTAGTTTAGATTTTTTTTAATTAGTGAGTAATTTTTTCTTTTATTTATACTCTATCTAAAAATAACAGTTTAATTGTAAAGAGATCGTGTAAAAAAATTAGTAAAGAAAAAATATGTATATATTGGAAAGATAAAAAAATTTCGGTTTATTTGGTTTTGATGACCCTCATACAAATGACACAGTGCTATTATAATACTATATAATGTTTTTCATAAAATCATTGCGTGGATGAATCTCCTTTTTTCTTTTTTGTGGTTGCTCAATCTAATGTGGCTGAATCTTATACTATAATTGATTATGATATTAGATTCTAACCACTGTTGTACTTCCAAATATAGTACATTTATGTCCAATTCTTCACAACGCCAACTTTTAAAACCTTCCAGAAATTTTTAACAAAAAATTGGATGGTAAATTTCTTCGGAAGGATCAAACAAAATAGCAATAAAATAGCTTCCAGTGTTCTTCATCTGCTGGGCCAAATTCAAAACAGAGCCGGGAAAGGGGCCCCTTGAAACAGTCCTCCATGAAAATCCTTTGGCATGAAACAAATTCCAATGGTAACTTAAAACACACCGAATTCTGATCGCTGTCGGCCCGGTATACAAGAAGTCCTCCCCCCCCCCTCTCTTTTTGGAACTAAAACTAAATAAGAAAACCAAATAATTTGGGTAATACTGAACTTGAACTGAAGTCCAACTGAAAATGTGTTTGGATTAGCTTTTTAAAAGTAATTTTAAGAGAAAATTCTGTTTCGATTTACGTAAAAATACTTTTTCAAGTACTTGTAGAGTTTTCCAAATACTTCCTAAGCCTCTGATTATATTAGCTAACGTTGAACAGGATTATCTAAACTATCAGGTTTTATACACAAGTTTATATCTAATGATAAGAATGTCTTACTAGTGGGAGTTTGAGAAACTTAAAAGGTACTTAAGAAAGTCTTTTCATGTAAATCACAATAAAATTCCTCTCATATACTTTACCTCTTATACCGTGAAAATCTTAATCTAAACACCATCTTATAGATGTACTCATTTACATTTTACACGCACATATCACTGACGTGGGGATTGAACCCCACCTTTGGTGAGAATGGAGCCTTCTTCTTTGGCTCAACGATCACGTGCCCTGAAGGGGCTTAGGGGCCCTATGAGCCTTCCCTCTTCATCATCCACAGTGGCCTACATAATGACATCTGATCACTTTCCAATTCCATTCATCATCATTATTCTCAAGACACTTTATCATTTACAAACACTGTAGATTACAGACACACCAGTATGGTTTAGAAAGGCTTTATAGAAACCTTAATCTCACAGTGAATGTCTTGCCTTCCTTTGACCAAAAGCATAAAAGAAGACAACACCAATGGTAATACCCAAAAAAAGAATATTAAAAAAAGAAAAGAACTCTTTGGACAACAAATCTGCAGGATGGTTATTGAGATGATTGATTACTATTAAGCTAAGAGCCAAAAATCCTTGTGACGCTTAGTGGTGATCATATAGCCTCCAGCTTTCTTGCCTTTTCTTCTCACTGCGATTGCCATGCAATGAGCATTCTGTATGCAGTACTCCACCACGCCGCCGGCGACGCGGTGGCCAGCCCACATCATCAGAAGACGCCATGTCGTGGACCTCTTCTTCTGCCCTAAAACCAGAAGTGATACGCCTTCTTTTCTTGCTTCTTCCACTATTTTTGGGCCCTTGTCCTTCCCTTCCACTACTACAATCTCAATTTGTACCTATCAGAACCATATAATTCTCATAACATTCAATCATCGCATGAATTGATTAATGTGTGCAAGTAAAGGAACATCCATGCTAAAGAAACAGAATTATATTGTACATATCTCTGACACGTGGGCTTCACTCCCTGACTAAAGTAGCATGCTTGTTTCATACAACATCATTAAAAAAGCTTTAATCTTTACCCATATTTCAAAGATGAAAATCACCATGCTTGAATGGGTCTTATTTGCTCTGAATAGAAAAATTTTGAGCCTTGGGAGAGACAAGGCAGTATTCTAACAATCTGGGAGCTCCACCTTTTGCAGGTGGTAGTGAAACAATTAGATAAAGTGAAAACAAGTTGAAACTTTTATGCTTTTAGAACGTTGAAAAACAAGGGGGCTGTGTGGAATAAGAGGAGTAAACTCACTTCAGGTCTCTTGACGTGGCACATATTCTTGAAGGAAGAGACAAGTTCATAAGCTCTTGGATTTGGAGTAGTAATCTCCTTGCTGGACTCTTCATCTGAGGCTGCCATTGCCATAAACACATGAACCACACATGGGGTCATTCTCAATCTTTAATCAAATAAATGAGGTCAAAGGGAAGAAGAAGGCAAGATACTACAATCTGTTTTGGGTCACACCTTGTTTAGAAGGCTTAGTCACATGAAGAAGTATTATCATGTCCTGGCTCTGAACTGTGTGAGTGAGTGCCCAGTGCACAGCTCCCTTGGCTGCAAAACTAGAATCAACCACAATCATGATTTTCCTACCAGCAACAACCCCATTTTTCACCCCATCGCCGGATTTCTTCTCACAATCTTCACTGGAATTCTCGTTTTGAAGGTCAGTTTTGACGGCACTGGAATCAAGCTTGGGTTGTACAGGCGGGGAACGGACACGAGCATGAGGCCGGATTCTGTTGAGGCAGAAGCCTGGCAACTTTGTTCCTCTCTTGCCCATTTCTTCAATCACCTTGTGAGCAACAAGGCACCAATGCTTATAATAATGAGAAGGAACATAGAGAAAGAGGAATCAACTAACAATAAGGACCCCGATGAGGCGGGGGGCAAATTTCTACAATATTTTGGCCTCGAACATGGTACAATTTGTGCTCTGCTTTCTCTTTTCTTTTTACTTTTTCTACTAATCATTTTTGGTCCTTTTGTTTCTTTTTTATTTGTTTTTCCTCCTTGTGGGGGTTACCATGTCCCTGATGATCGTGCCTCTCATCAAACAGTAGGCCCATTCCTCCTCTTAGACCAGCTCTTTGCTTCACCTGTCACCATTTTCTCGTCACAGTTCTATGGAATTCTTCATGCCCAGTTCAAAACTAAATATTCTCACCCATAAATTTTTTTCCCCCTGAAATGGTAGTCTTATTCGCTTGTTCATCCAAAATTTTATTGTTAAAACTCTTCTAAGAAAAATCTAATCCAAATCAATAAAGATATTATCTTACTAGTTTTTATATTATTTTCACAAGAGTAAGATAAAGTAGATTTAGCAGAGAATACTAATCAAAGAATATCATCAAAAAAATTCTTTAGGTATCGCCTTTATTAGCACTGTGACCATTTTAGACGCAAATGAATAAGCAATCAATGACATTATTAAAGTGATATTCTTCTCTCAATCTGACACCTCATTAGAGGCTTCTTCAGTGATTGACTGCAAAGTTCCCCCATTTCATATCATTACAGAATGTTTCCTTTTCTCTTCTGCTTTTTTGCTTTCATTTGTTTTTATCTCTAAAGCAGGGAATGGGGCATAGGTTAACAATGATAAACCATGTGAATTAAAAAAAAAAAATTGCTTTGCAGTTTCAATACCATCAACAGAAGAAATTAAGAAGACCTCATTTGCAGCTTTTAACTCTTCTTGCAGTAGCAGTATCCTTCACTCCAGGCTTAGCAATTCTGTAGCAGCTGAAAAACGTTAACATGATGGCTTGCCATTTCTCTTTTGCAATAATCTTTCTGTTTACGCCAAAGGCTCATCATATTGGTTATGTTCATTCAATTGCTAACTCAACTAATACAATGATGTTCCCCATAAACAAAAGGGCTCAAGAATGATTAAATATGCAAAGCTGAAATAATATCCTAGACTTTTTCTTCTTTAGATATAACAGAACTTCAAAAGCTACTGTAGCTTCCAAGAGACTGCATCATCCATCTTCAACTTTAGCTTCCCTTGACGAAGTATCTTGGTGGTCTCACATATTTTCTGGGTCTTTCGGCTGGATGACGTGTTCTGAGAATGACATTTTAGTTTTCTTAGGGTCGTTAGAATGGGGAACTTTGGACCTGGGGACCTGTGATCTGCAAAAGACAGTCATATTTCAGATTACTTATAAATACTTGAGAGTTTGATGTTTCTTAGGATATATATCTATATCAGTGTTCAATTACTTCTTGCTTCTTACGTCCTAATATGTATTAATCAGCTAATCCCGCAAGTCATATGTCGTTTACGTGGCATTGCTCTGGGTTTTGGCTGGATCTTTGTGGTCCTCCTAAGACTATGACTGGTCATTTTCTAGAGTTGAGTTTTGGAATCCTAGGCTAAGATGTTTGATGATGAAGAGTCATAAGTAAAATGATGAGTGAATTAAACGAGATTCACCTGTGGCATGGAGTCATCAGGGGATTAAACAGATCCATTTTTAATGCAAAATGTGATAAAGTTTGGTGATAAATGCTGGGCCGGTTCCCTTAAAACACCAAAATAAATAGCCGAGGAAAAGGAAGAACATGAAAGCAACTAGCTAACTTCCTGTTTGACTCTTTTTAAGGTGGAAAGATCCAAATGACTTGAATGAAGGCAAAAGGAGATTCTCCCTTCCTGAACGAGATGACCCACTTTGAATAGAATGATTGTGCTGTTAGGTAATTAAGAAGAAAAAGAAATCTGCTGAGACTTCAACTAGTTTCTAATTATCACTATCGTTAAGATGTCAAATCCACCCTTTTCCCCACAAATTTTCCCTTGATAATCGACCAGCAAGCCAAAGTGAAAAGTAATTATTTATATTATTATGTACAGATTTCTACAGTTGTTTTCTCGAACATCTGAAGTAGGAAAAGGCCAAAATTGGAAAAGAACAAGTGAGATTTTTATTTTAGTAGTTTAGCTGGATTCTGAACTCCCACTTGATAATGCAAATCCACAACTGGATCCAAGGTTCTTCCCCCGTTCTGTTTTATGGGCTTGCTGATATTGTGTTTGACATTTTTTGCCATTCTCATAAAAGACGAGTTGCCCTCTCATCAATACCTTCGTATAAGTTTTTTCTTATTTTTGGGTAAAACTGTTCATTGTGAAAATAAATTCCGGTTACAGTACACTATGCCTATGAAATAATCTAAAGCCTATAGTACGAGGCTCGCGTTCAGTTATTTTCTCTATGTCATAAAACTAAGTAATGAACCAAAGCATTAATAAATAGTTTCATATTTAATATAAACTCATCGAAATTCTCTGATGAATTTAGCACTAGCAGGTTATCTATTAGTAGCCGAGAATAAATCTAAACCATAGTCACCCAGTTCCGAAACAATAGCCAGAGAACTTTAAAATAGAGAGTAAGCCCTATGAGAAAAACTCAAATAAATCATAGAATAATATAAATTTAAGGTTTAAATAAATCCTAACTAGGATAAGCAGTGGGATCATGCTGCCGGATTTCCAAAATATTAGTCACTGGAAGTTACAAAGGCGCAGGGAACAATCATTTCAAAATCCTGGTACAGTGCAGAGGTGGTAAGGAAGAATCGATTTAGGCCCGAGAATTAAATTATGGGTGATTCCAGTGCCGAGCTAGACATCTTCTTTAACAATGTATCCGTGCTCACTCATGTGATACCCCTTCCATCATTCAAGTTCCTCGCCCAATTTCTGCTACGTTTGGAACATATCCATATGATCTTAACAGTATAGTCAACCCCCTCAATGTCCTGTATACATCCTCTGTCTCAGGATGTCTCTCATCTAAGGAATAAAATTCAACCACATTATCATTGACCTCAATCACACTACATCCTGGCAATTTCCTGAACCCAGTATCTCTTATTGCAACCTTCAATCGAGCAACATCTTGCCATCTTCCAAGATCCTTATATATGTTGGAAAGCACAACAAAGTTTGCAGGGTTGTTTGGCTCGAGTTCAATGAGCCGCTTAAGAGCCAATTCGGCTAACTCAACGTTCTTGTATATTCTACATGACCCCAGTAGGGCAGCCCATATAATTGAGTCTGGTTTCATGGGCATCTTTCTCACAAAATCCATAGCCTGGTTCAAAAGACCAGCTCTTCCTAGTAAATCAACCACACATCCATAATGCTCAATTTGAGGGACAATTGAATAACAATCCGCCATTGATTGGAAGTGTGAAAAACCATCTTTGACTAAGCCCATATGTGCACAGGCAGCCAAAATTCCAACAAAAGTAACTCCATCTGGTTTTTCTCCTGCGTTCTTCATCTGATCAAACAAACTCAATGCATCAGCAGCATGCCCGTGTACGGCCAGGCCATTGATGATGGTGTTCCATGTAATTATATCTTTTCTATCCAGAGTGTTGAACACAACAATTGCATTTTCTATATTTCCACATTTCGCATACATGTCAATCAAAGCATTTCCAACAAACAGGTTTCTTGTAAGACCAATACTATCTGCATATACATGCACCCACTTACCCATATCAAGGGCTCCTAATCTTGAACATGCAGACAACACTGTGACAAGTGTTGCATCATTAGGAAGCACATTAGCTTCAATAAGCATCTGTTTAAAAGACTCCAATACTTCAGATAAACGTCCATTGCGAGCGTAACCCCCAATAAATCCATTCCAAGAAAACACATTTCTTTGAGGCATCTCTTTGAACAACTTCTCACAGGATTCAACATCCCCATTAGTCGCATATCCGCACAGCATTGTGTTCCATGACATAATATCCCGACTGGGCATCTTATCAAAAAGTTGTCTTGCTGCCGCCATATCCCCCACTTCTATATAACCCGAAATCATAGTGTTCCACAAGATGATATCACGCTCAGGTGCTAAGTCAAAAAGGCGTCGCGCAGAAACCATGTCATGAGAAGAAATGTACGCATTGATCATAGAGGTCCATGCAACTACATTCCTATCAAGCATCTCACCAAATACTTTATGAGCAGCTCCAAGATACCCCCTAGCTGAATACATATCAATCAATGTGGTTGCCACAAATGGATTTGATTTATAACCTCCTTTCATTACAGAACAATGAACTTCTTCTCCTTCCGTTGTCGCATTTACCTTACCACAAGACCTGAGGACAATGGGAAAGGTGAAGCAATTTGGCAGTGCGCCAGCTCTGTTCATTTGAATGAACAGCACAATGACATCCCAGTAAGACTCATTTTGCGAATACCCTCTAAACATGGCATTCCATAGAGCGGTGTTCCGATCAGGAATTTGATCGAACACCTTTCGGGCATAGGCCATATTCTTGAGTGTTGCACAGGCCGTGATGAACTTTGGGGCAACGTATTCATTATACTCAAATCCATGGGCAGTAATCTGAGCTTGAATCTGGAGAAGTTGTTTATGGGTTCTACATGACTGTAAGAAAGAAATGAATTTTTCTTCGATGATTCTCTGCGGTGGCTTCGGAGCTAGATTTAACAGAATGTTCGCTATTTTCTAGAAGAATGCAACAGGCAGCTTCTCATAGAGGAAAGGATTATGAATCACACAGATATAAAAGATCAAAATCAGCAATTAAGCCAAGCAGCTTCGTGATGTATGTGTGCTGCAAGAGATGAACCCAAAATCGAAGGGCGAAGGGCGGGTCCACGCATGGCAATTCCAGAATTATTTAATTTACGTTCACAAAATAAATTTAATTTATATGTAAATAAAATATAATTATCAACAGTAAATTTTCATTTTATCTTGGGATCCGTTTGAAGGAAATGGAGGAGACGAGAGAGGAAGGAAAATTTTAATAAAAACTTGAAGAAGTAGAGTTAAAATTTTTTGATTAATAATAAAGCGAGCTCATTAAAATTTTTCCTCTCTTCTGTTTTTATCTATTTTTCTCATACTAAATAGACTCTTAGTTAGGAAAAGTAGCTGAGAGCCAACCCAATATACAAAAACTAGATTTGGAGCTCGTCCTAAGTAAATTATTAAAAATAATAAATTAAGTTGATCTATTAACAAATAATTCTAAATTAATTTTAAATAATATTAATTTATTATTTATTTTTAAATTAAAGATTGAATTCTTAAAGTTTTCATGATAATAATAATGAAATTATTATATCCTCTCTGTCAGTCAGGTTTATGTTTAACCTCGGTGTAATGCCATCCCAATCTTATCATTTAGGGGCCAACATGGTACGTAATGTAATTATACATTTGTAAATATTTTTTAGATTTTGAATATTAGCCAATTAACAACATAATAAAATTTAGCTTATCACTAAATTTATTCAAAATTTCGAAATTTATAAATTTCTAAATTTTATAGATCAAATAATTGAGGAGAATATTTAGGTTTAAAAAATATTTAAATTAATTTGTAGAAAGAGAACAATTTAAATTTTTAATGAAATTCATTTAAGAAGTTTGATCATATTTATCATAATTTGTTAGCATGACAAATTATAACGCATTTGAGATGCATGTAGTTATATTTAATTTGATTAATAATTAATTTTTATTTTGATAATTTGTTATGTTATTTCAATTTTATATTACAATTATGTTTTGTTACTATTTTTTTTCACTCTGTTCTCCAACAGATCAAAATATCCAAATCTTTCAATTAAACAACTCATTCATCGTGGAATGACGGAATCAATCAATCTCTCTCTCTCTCACCCTATATATATGTATATATATTATATACATACACTCCAACAAAATATAGATCGATATTAATATATATATATATATATATATATATATATATATCCTGCAACAATAAAGTGCTGCGAGGAAAACGAAAGATCTTCATATCTGCTTACAGATTAATGGGAGCCTTTTGTTCTTGTTTCTGCGCACATGACTCGGGAGTTGCCTCGTCTTCTTCCTTCCCAGATTCAAATCTCCATCATCAACATCCCAACACCACACCCCTTTCGTTCTTCCACAGGGTACCTACTTTACACACACACACACACACACAGCACTGTTTCCCTGTGCTTCCATTATCCTTCCTTAACCATTCTTTGTTTGTTGGAATTCTCTTAATTTATATGTACCTCGTTTATTCCTATACAGATTATCTTGTTTGTACAGGTTAAAAATTTTCAGAGATCACTATGTTTAATTGATCTATACAGTTTGATATATACAATATTATTAGATGATTGCTTTCATTGTACGGAAACCTAAATTCAATTCAAATTCTGATATGGATGGTAACCTAATGACACCAAACGTCTCTCTTAAATCTTCGTCAAGTTTATACATACATGGATTGTGTGTTGAGAATGATTAATCATTAATGTAGGGTTTTGATCAAACTTTTGAATCCATATTTTAATTACGGTCAAAACCTATTATATTGTTGGATTAAGGTGCATCCAGCACACTGAAGTATTTTCTCAAGTGCATCCAGTATCTTAAAGTACTTTGTAGTGCATCCAGTATCTTAAAATATTTTTTTATGTGCATTTAGCACCCCGTAAAGTATTTTTTTTGGTGTATCCAGCATCTCAAAGTATTTTTTTAGTATTTTTTTTAGGTACGTCTAGTCCCAAAAATATTTTTTGGTGCATCCAGTAACCAGGCAAAAAAAATATTTTAAGGTGTTGGGCGCCCCTAAAAAATATTTTAGAGTGCTGGATGTACCACAAAATACTTTAGGGTGCTGATTGCATCTCAGAAAATACTTCAAAGTGCTGGATGTACCTTAACCCTATATTGTTTATAATTATCATATATTTTGATAAATTAAACAAGAATCAATTCAATGCAGCTAATCAATATATAATCAGATTCATTATGCTTCGCTTATATTGATGGTTTGAGAAGGGAAATTTTAGAAATTATATATAAATTTCTTTCTTATAAATTTTAGAGTATATTAATTATACTCTAGTTGTTACGTTTCTTATTAATTAATTTCTATTTGCTATCTGCAGTGTAGTTTAGTAATATGCCCGTTGAGAGTATGGATTATCGCCGATGAAGTAGCGCCAGCTCAACCGCCAGAAGCTGCTCAAATAGCTCAAGGTATATAATATAACTAAAACACATTATTTCATTAATATAATTGGATAATCAGTTTAATTATTTGTTATAATTAATATTTATACACAATGTATTATTTGGGAGTTTTAAAAATAATATATATGTAGATTTGGTTTGGTTTGTTTTGCTAAAGTATGTTTCTAGTCCTTGAACTTTATATAAAGTTTCAATTTAACTCCTTAATTTTAAAAATTATATTTTTAATCCTTTAACCCTTAAACTGTTAATAAAAAATAATGATATTAAGATCTTGGGTATTAATAAAACATTTTTAAATGTTTACATATTAAGTTTGATTTTCAAAATAACTATGATTGGCACAAAAATTATCATTTAAAACTAATAATTTTAAAGTTAAAGGACTAAAAATTATATTTTTAAAATTTAATGGATCAAATTTAGATTTTATAGGACTAAGTGTATATGATGAATATATGTTTTTCTTTTCTTTTCTTTTTTTTTTTTAAAAAAAGAAGAAGGTAGAAACAATATATGTAGATCAGTTGCATAAATCTAGGCAAACTAGGAGGGATTCTTGCTGAGAGGATAAAAAGGATAACCTATACATATATATATATATATATATAGATATATTTATGTACAAATCATTATACTGTTTTTATGTGATCTCGACATATATTAACCACAAATTAATATAAGAGATTGAGTTTTATTTTCTATTATATCAAGTCAAGATATAGTATTTTGTTATTTGAATCTTTATTGGGACGACAAATTTTGCACTAACAAATGCAATAATTTTGAAGGAACGTTCGACTCTGCTGTTCATGATTCTGACCCATCTGAAGAAGAATGTCCTACATGTTTTGAAAGTAAGTATTTATATTTATATACATGTGTGTGTGTAATGTATTACTTGGAATCCTATTCATTAATCCAAAAATGGGGGGGGGGACCTCAAAAGATGAAAAGTAATTCAATATACTTTGAGCCATTAATTAATAACACAGTCAAAAATACAGATGAATTAACAACATTATTAAATTATTATTTGTATTTTTAAATTAAATGACAGATTATACAGATGAAAATCCAAAGATAACTGCAGAATGCTGTCATCATTTTCACCTTCCCTGTATACTTGAATGGCAGCAAAGAAGTGCAGAATGCCCCAACTGTAGACGGGTATGTAGACTCATATACAAATTGATTATTTTTTTCTTAATTGTCATTTACTATATATGACTTTAATTTCTCTAACTATTATTGAGGGCAAAATATAATTTTTATAAACTATCTCTCAATTATCGATTTAGTTCTTAAACCCTAACTTTAAACAATTGTTAACCTTTCTAGTTTATTGAGTTAAAGAGCTACAGGCATTGGATGAATTGTTCCAACCTAGAAACAATAAAAACTAACTTGTTCTAAGTTGAGAAACTATAGGAACTGAATTATTTTAGTTTAAGGTTTAACAAGTGAATTGATAATTAAAATTTTTTAACGTTTACTCTTGTAAGAAAGCCTCATGTATTACGAATAAGTGTTGATCAAGGTGGTAATAGTCTTATCCCTAATAAAGATAAAAACATAAGTTTAAATTTTGAAAAGCGCACTTCTCAGTAGAGGAAATAACATATTAAACGACGCACTGTCACTCGATGAACTCAAATTAGTTGGTTGCTCTGATACATGGTTCATTTTAGAAAGTTAAGATCTAGAAAAGATGCATGTCGGATATGGTGTGGTGGAGTTCCTCTGTGGGTGTGTGTAAAGAAAGACTCGTTATTTGTTAATTCTCCAGGAACCTCCAACACTACTTTAGGCCAACTTCTGTTAGATTAATTTGCTGTTTCTTTGTTTTGATGTTTTAGGCGTTTGTCTTTTTAAACTTTTGCCCTTGCACAAAAAATTTCAATCAAAAGTTATATTATTTTCTCCTAATTAAATAATAACCTCTTTATTCACTAAGTGAACAGCATTTAATTAATTGTTCTCATTGAGTGTAATCTTAAATTTTTAAGAGTAATAATTAATTCTAACTAAAATTCCTTAATCTTGATAAACCTGTTGATCGGTAAGTTCTTATAATGATAATGGAGGAAGTACATTTAATTGTTGTACAGTTTATAATTCGTTGAGTTTATATTATATTGCGATCAGAGACTAATAGATTAACTTCTTGGCAGGTGCTGATCATTAAGGATATGTTTGACTTGTGATGCCAAAATGACAGTGACCCATTTATAAACAAATATATATCAAAGAAATTTTGATGTCTTTTTATTTTTATCTTCTTTTTCTAAATGAGCCACTCAGTTGTTGCGGCCCCCAATTTTTGTCCCTTTCTAATCTTCTTGTGCGAAGTGGAAAACTAACTTAATGGCATTGTAACTTCTGTTGTCTCCTTTGTTTTTTCCCTACCGAACTACCAACATTTGAATTTAATACCACAATCAGAAAGGGATTCCACCATAACATCCTTAAATTTTTTTTTTTTTTATTGAGCCTAACGTAACTCCTCGCACCGTAGATTTCTTGAATAGGTCGCAGTACCAGTCATAAGACCATTTTCATCCACGTCGTCATGGATAGAGGAACCTCAATGATCATAAATTTGGATTAGTTAGTACTTAATATAGAAGCTAATTAGGGAGTTGATATCGATCATATATATAAGACCTATTTCATATATTTATTAATTTTTTTCTAAATTAATCATATTAATATTGTCCCAATAATAATCAAGTAGGAGAAGGAGGGAGAAAATTAAGAAAGATGCTTAATTAGGGTATTTTAGAAAAACCATATCATATCAAATAATTTAACTAACATTCTTAATATACTCAAATTAGTTAATTAGAACATATAACTAGGGGAGTATAATTCAATGGATCAGATTTAATTTTACTTTCATTGTTATATTTTAAATAATTTCATTTTAGCTGTATTAGAATGTTTAAATCTAACTCCAAATAGCTTTTTTTATTTTAATGAATATAAAAATTCAAAATAAATATAACTTTTCAACTGTTATTTTTTTTAAGAAATAAATTTATCTTATAAGAATTTATAAATTAAAAATTTTAATTATGGACTTTAGACTGTATGGTGCAGGTCTCATCACAGTATCACACCACTGTAAATTAGTACCTGTAAGTAAAGATTGCTTATTTAAATTTATCGCATTTGCCTAAGTCAACACATTATTTCAATATAATTGCATGAGTTTTTTTTTTTAACCTAAAACTCTATAATTGTAGCTTTTTACATGTGTATTAATTGCAGTGGAGTAGCACGTAGCTCCATAGGATAAGATATTGCTCCAAGATTCACTGTTCCTTTTTCTCAGTAAAATCTTATGGCGACTTCGACTCAACAAGATATATCGTTGACCCACATCACAATAAATAAGGATCTTCTCTATCTAACCCCTCGAAAAACAGTAACATCACTTTAAAATCCTCGCTTCACTTTATTATATTTTCTCATCATTATTTTCTTAAATTTTGGAGACATCACGAATATTATTTTCTCGGTAAAATTTACTCATCAGCAAGTGAGACTTTTCGTCCCACACATATATAACAAGTTTAAATTGTCGCCTCACACTAAACTCAAATTAGCAGCAAAAAGAAGAGAGAAGAGAGAGAAGCATGCAGAAATATGAAAACACAAAAATTAAAGCAGCAGAATTATATATAACTTCTCATAAAAAAGCTTAATTAATTAAGCTGTGAGAGTACTTACATACAGTTCATAACAAAGTACGTCAAACTTGGGATTTAAACAAGCTAGAGACATCAGCTATATATATATATGATGAGTACGCGAATGAACATGTTCTCAATCATTGTCGTTATAATTAATTAGCACACAATAATAATAATATAATATCAAAAGACAGATAGAGAACAAGGTGCGTCATTAAAAACATCCGAGGTTGCAGGAATAGAGTGGTTCCAGGGTGAGGTCAAGCTCGTTCCTTTCTGCTGCTTCCTCTCTGTAATTCCCTCTGCAATATCAACCCACACATATATACATGTGACACTTAATTGATTCATCGCTATTTACCCTTATTATATAACCGATCAAGCACCCGAAATATTTATGGTAGATTCGAATTCCATCGTATATATATAAATTACCACTTAGGTAATAAATGTAAGTCATTTGTAGAGAAAAGTTTTGGTCCTAATGTAAGTCACTTATAGTATATTTAATATTTGTTTTTTAATTTCACACTTATTTAATTTTCCTTGAAAAGAGAGAAAGAAGAGAGATATATGAGAATGATTTATATAGATAGAGAGAGAGAAAACTTTAATAAAGATAAAATGAAATGAAATTTGTCAACTTAATACATTTTGCGGCATCCGAAAATGTGTTACAAGTAACTTATATTAAGAATTATTGAAGTGTTATACAAATATACATAGGATATAATCTAATTCAGTAAAGAAAGTGAGAGAGAAATGTATACTTTCATGTTTTTTTTTAATATTATCTCTGATCCTTAATATAAAACCTGATTGACTAATTTGAGAAAAATTAAAAAAATCTCTAAATTACTTTAAACTATTTATATTTGTCATTTTTCTCCAAACTAATTTGTCTCACTCATAAATTGATATATAATATAATGATCTATATAAGTATTTTAGAAAGATAGTGAAACATATATTATAATTTGGCAATTTAGTAACTTTTTTAATCTTTTTAAATTAGCCAGCTAAATCTCATGATAAGCACTAGAGGTATTAGAATATCTGGAATAAAGAGGCAACATAAACAAATGATATGAACAATACGCTCTTCAAAATATTCATGTTGAAAGAGTAAATTAATCATTAATTAATTAATTACCCGATGTGGAGAGTGGGGAGTGGTGGAGGTGGGAGTAGGTAAGATGAATTAGCTGCTCCCAGGTTTTGGTGCTCCCATGTCATATGATGTGCCCCCGCCGCCGCCGCCTTCTCTTTCTCCTTTATCTGATCGTAATAATATTATTAATAAATCTCAGCTCTCCAAAACTAATAATTATAATCCGTTATTACGTCAAAGCATAGTACTCTTAACTTCATAATATAATACTGCCTGTAAAAAAAACTTCATAATATAATACTACCTTTGATCTTAATTATAAGAGCTAGTTGACTAATTTGAAAAGATTAAATAAAGAAACTAAATTAATTATTTGTCATAAATAAGTATTGTCTTTCTTAAAATATTCTTGTTAATCAAGTGTATTGGCTAAAACTAGCATTGTTAGAAGGACTATATTGAAAAAAATGTATAAATATTAGACATATATTTAATATCAAAATAAAAATCAAACGATCATATATTAAGGATCGGAGATAGTATAATACAATAATATACAGTGTCTTCACTAATTTTTTTTAATTTTGTCAATATATTTTATATATATAAACGTGCATAACGACCGACCATGAAAAGACAATTACCTGATTAGAACATGTTCACGATATATAGTACGAACATGTGAGTGTTTGGGGCTGGATGAGGCAATCATAATATTATTATTTAATCAAAGGACACAAGTACGTAAATATGAGATATATACCTTCTTTGCCAGCATGCTATTCTGTTCCTGTATCACTTTCTCCTGCCGTTCATCAAAAAACGTTGAGACAACAATTTACATATTATAAACCTCTTTCCTTATGCAACTCAAACACGGGTACGCGTCTCTGTCTTCTAAAACTTAACCGATTAACTTAAATAAAGCTGGAAGAAAAAGAAGAAGAAGAAGAAGATGATGATATGATAGGTGTGGTTTAGATCAAAGGCGCGTTTCACCTTTTTCTGAAGCTCGGCGATCGACTCATTCATCAGCTGATTCTGTCACAAGAAAATACACACGCACACACATTATATAGAGAAGGAAGTAATTAATTAATCAATGATTAACTAATATAATGTAAGTTAATAATGGTTTTATGAATAATTAATTATATATACTGTTAACAACACTAAATATATATTTTTATGATTTACTTTGCGTGTCCGAATTTGTTTGATGGAAGTATCAAGCTGCTGCTCCAGACTATGCAGCTCTTTGAGGCTCAACGAACTCAGATCATATCCCAGATAGTGCCTGATGATGACCATATCATATCATATCATATTTATTATATATCGTTAACCTCGTAACACATACAACGTTATCAACATAGAAATTTCATAATTAGATATAAACAACACCAAAAAGCAGTTTGATGATTTGATATGTACACAGTGCAAGCACAGTAGTGTAGTAATGTACCTATGGTTCCTCTGCAAAAGGTCAATCCTAGCTTTCAGTCTAGAATATTCAATCGTCCAGTTTTCCTGCAACTAAACATATAGCCACAATCTCCGAACAATTAGGTCTATCTCACACACACACACACACACACACACACACACACACACACACACACATGCATATATGTATATGATCACACACGAACCTGTGACTCAGAATCATTTGCTCCTGCTAGCTGTCTCTCTGCATACGCATACCTTTCATGGCGTTCCAGGATCTTCTCCATGCTTTTTGTTTAATAATCATCCAGCACAAATGAGAGCAAAGTTAATTAATTATAAATATATATACACACATAAATAAACAATATCATTTATCGATCTATCAAGCACCCAGTTTAATATTGTTGTACTTTTTCAGGACTTGTATAAGGTTGTTTTATTTCGTTACACAACACTCACTGATGTTGTTGCTATGAAACAGAAAACTATCAATTAACCTTGCTGGGCTGACCTACCAGAAATGGAAATTGATATACATCCATGCAGATTTAGAAATATACAGTATGAAGAACACAAAATAGTAATGGAATTACCATAAAAGCACAGTATAATCTCGGTGATGCAACAAAAAGTTTGCACAAGGTTGAATTTAATTTCCGTTCTTTCAATGAACTAGCTAGATAGATGTGAAAGCCGGATTGAGATCTACTTATTTTCTACATATAAATACGGTGTCCTCTCTTTATAAGACACTTTTTGACTTACTAATTTTAGAGAATCTTAGGGGTCTTCAAAAATCAAAACAAACCTTAATTTCTGACTTTAAATAGCATACACACACATACATGTCATGCTTTTATGTAACAAAAGGACTAAAGAACAGCATGAACATGTGCTTGAATTTGACATCAGTAAAATCTATTTTCCTAGAAGTGAAATATATTTATGTCAAGATTAATTAAAATAAATTACATTATAAATTATTAATACAAATATGCTGCAAGGTTGAGAGAAAAGAAACAAAAAAGCATAGAAATTAATTACTACAAATGTTATTTTCTTTTTTTCCCCCAGAATCTAATTAATTAATTAAACAAGGAATCAGAGAATTAATTCTTTCTTTTGTTTATTGTAATCATTATCACTAAGTCGTCTTTAATTAATAATCATAAAGCTGCGCATCGTAAAAATATTCTCTAATTTCCTTGCTTCCTCCCTTGGCCATATTCATTCGATCTGAAAGGACTTGAACATGAAAATGAACATGACAAGTACCTTCTGCTTAAGAATATGGAGATCACAGCGTTTATTGGCCAGAGACGAAGCAAGCAACTATATGCAAAAAGATAAAAGAAGAGAACGAAGTAGAAGAAGAAGAGGAGGAGGAAGAAGCCCTTAATATTTTCAGAGATTATGGAAATCAAGGCAAAAGCACAGAAGCAGATATAGATCCCTGAGCTTTGCAGAAGATTCGCTCACGTCTGGTTATAGGAATTTAGGCTCAGAGAAAAGAAAAAGAAAATCAGCTAAGGGTTTCGCAAGATCTGATGCACAGCACTGTTTTATAACTCGATTCACGAATCTCAGATGTAAAAATTCTGTACTTTAGTTAGAATATCAACATAAAAATCATTTGCGAGTATCAAACCCTAGCTACTGCAAAAATGTTTCTGACTTCTTCTATAGAAAAATCTCTCTCGAGATTTGGTCTTGCGAAAAAGGGGAAAGAAAATCGTTTCCACTGTTTTATTATTTCAACTCAAAAGCAAAACCCTTTCCAAATACTGCAAAACAAACAAGAAGTAGTAATAATTAGACCAAATAATATACAGATTCATGAAAGAGTAGTATAGCGGTTGTCATCATCATCATCAGTTACTGAAAGGAGAAAGAAATTAACTAACAGTTGCATCACTCATCAAAAATAATAAACAAAAGAAATTATGTGAATAATGTTAAAGCAAATATTTATTTATTATACCAAGAATCTGTGGCATACTCAAAGAGCTTTCCTTTGTGGGAGAAGACAATAAGAGCGACCTCAGCGTCACAGAGGACAGAGATCTCATGAGCTTTCTTGAACAATCCATTTCTCCTTTTGGAGAAAGTCACTTGCCGATTGATCTTGTTCTCTATCCTCTTCAGCTGAACCCTACCTCTTCCCATTATATGTTGATATATTTTATAAACTTTCTTTCCTTCTTTTTTCCCAAGAAAACCCTAGACAAGCGAAACCCAAGAGGGAAAGGAACAAGCTTGATTATATATATGTGCAGAAGAAGGAGAAAGATCAGTAGTTTATGGGGGGTTTCAAAATCTTTCTTCTTCTGGACAAGTATGGGAAAACACAGATAGCGAGGCTGAGTTTGTATATAGATAGATTGAGAGAAGAAGTGAGAAACAAGTGGGAACAAATTAAAGGAACGGATTGGGGTTTGGCGACAGCTGGTTTAGATGATAAACCTAGGGCTCTGTCTTTTTTAACGTTGTGTTGTCGATCTCTCATTGGCTGCCTATTGTAGTACTGTTTGCTCTCTGTGTAGGGTTTTGCCTCACATGATGTTTGATCTTTTCCTAGGGCAAATACTGCTTCTTCTTCGTAGAGTAGGTCATTCTTTATTTTGGCAAAAAAAAACAAAATGATTTAATTTGTCTTTTACGACCTTTTTTCTAACTTTTTGTCAAAGAAAAATTTAGCTAGTTAAGCTTATAGCAAGCTTAAAGTAATAATACTAAATGGCCTAGTTATCGTTTATGCCTTAAATAACACTTCATCGTAACGAAGAAATATGAGTTTATCATAGATACAGACAAATATGTATATATCTATGCTAATCATTCACAAAAGAGATGGAAAGTAATTTTTTTTATATAATCATTTTTCGTCATAATTTTTCCTAATTCGTAAATACAAAAGTGTAGAGATACAATAATGTACTATATATAAACAAGAAGCTCATGTTCCTCTACTTTTCATAAAGTTATTCTCCCCATCATTAATTTAATATCTAACAGTTTTTACGTAAACAAAGATTTAAAGGCAAGTAAATGTACAATATTATATATCAGCTATACATGTATATGTATGAAATATTGGAGCAATCCATGAACTTCTAATTAAATTGAATCGAATATCAGATAAAGTGCCAAATAATGTATATTTGGAGTTTTATATATAATTATTTGCTCTTATATATGCATGTGACTGATTTTCCTTACCAGATTCAACTTCTTTTATCTAGATAATTAATCGCTAATTATACATGCTGAGTTTATATAAACTTACAATTTACGTCTTTTGATTTCTTAAATATTCGATGATTTCTTAGTTTAATCTTTCATTGTTACGTTAATTATCCTCAATTTAACTAGTGATAATTATATTTTCAATTTGATTGGCTAGCATACATAAAGGCTTTTATGTTTGAAAAAACAAAATAAATATTAATAGTTAAATTGAGAATAATTAAAATAAAGAACCTCACAGCCTCACAGTCACCTACACACAATCGTGCGCACAAAAACAAAATCTAAATTGTATTTAAGAAATATTATTTACTCCGTTAACAAGCCTTTTTCAATTAAAAAAGTTGTTTTTAACATAATTAAAATACAATTCCTTGCCCTTTTGACTTTTTAGTTCTATGTATAATACTACCTTTTGTCCTTAATATAAGAACTAATTTGGTATTTAATTTGATCCTAAATATAAGACTTAAATTTACTTTATCTTTTATATTTATTTATTTATTTAAAATAATTCTTTTAGTAGTTGCACTTAGCTAATGCATATAATTAGCAAGAGCAATTTAGGAAGGATAACATATATTTATTATAAATAACTAGCTTAACAAACTTTCTGAATCTACTTAAATTAATCAACTAACTTTTATATTAAATACATGAAGTAGTAAGTCGCATCTTTACCTGTTATAATTGGAAGAACACGATTGGCCCTTTTCAATATTATTCTCATCATACTTGTATTCACAAGCTTTGTATATAATTTGCTGAGAAATATACATATATAATTGTGTTGGTATTTTGAATATTTTTATTTCTACAGGAGTTGGATTTTGGGATTCATTAGGATTAATATATGTCTTCAAATTCAAAGAGTGCATGGTTGTAAAGGTTCTTTTGAAGTATTCTAAATATACACATTGTAACATTCCTTAGGAAATTTTAATCACTATTCATTTTTTCCTATCATTAAAATTTGGATGAAAAAAAATAGGGCGTTAAGAACAAGCCGGGTTGGGTTTTGGCCTGATATTTAAAAAAAACAAACAATGAAAAATTTAAAAAATAAATTAAAAACAAGATGAGATCTCTGATTCTTTTTTACAGTATTGATGCTGAGAGGATGTTTCATTCTGGGAGTGTTCATTTTGGATGGGATTAATTACTTGGAAAGAATCACAACATACGTTGACTCGAGGATAATTCTGATTCCAATATATACATTTGCTTCAAGAAATAAAAGTTTCTTAAGGAAAAATCTAAATAAAATAATATAAAGTTATATCTAATTAGCTCTCCTCTACCTACTAAACCAAACAAGAAATCTCTTCTTTATTAACTTCTCCTTCCCTCGATTGAACCAAACAAAGCCTTAATTAATGATATTTGCATTTTTAAAATTTTAAAACTATACAATCAAAATATGTATCTTTCATGACGAAAAATACCTGTTCTAGAACACATACTTATTTTAATTTTGATTACTTTCTTTTCTGTTATATCTCCTAAAAAATTACTAAATGTTCTTTTTATATATTATTAGGAGGGTTTGAATCCTTGATTTCTAAATTTCAATTAAAAAAAAACCATTAATTTCTACTCACACCTTCCCACCAAGCCTCAAGTCGTTTAATGATTTCTTTTTTTTTTTTTAATAAGGTATCATCAATATTGCTATCAATCAAGGATAGTATCAAATCTCACTCATATCAACTACGTACCACAAAAAAAGGCCTATCTAGCTTTTCATTTTTCATTTTTCTTTTTCTTTGGGGTAAACTTTGCTTCCTTATTTGTTGTTAAAGAGACGGGTCATATTGCCATGGGAAGGAGGGGGATATGTCCTTGATGTTAATAATTCCATATCAATGTGTGTGTATGCATATGGTAAAGTACAACATCTCATATATGCTTTTCTAGTGTTTTTAACACTTTACTTTTATTTATGATGCATCTAGCATCTTGAACTATAAATAAATTTAAGATACTAGATGTAATATTATGGAGTGTTAAGTGCATTAATGTCGTAATTATTTTTAAAAATAAATTTGATTACTTGCAAGCCATAATTAACGTGGCTGATTTTTTTTGTTTGTTTTAAGATTTCGCCATGGAAGGCACGCCCACAATGAAAGTAGTGAAAGATGCGAAGAAGCCCACCCAAATGTTTATGGCTGCAGAGAAGTCCATGGTTATCAGAAAGCAGTACTTCCAGGTTTTATGGTTCAACCCCACCTTGTCTTCTTAACTTGTAACCATGTCCTTTTCTTGTAGGGACATCGTGTATGCATGCACCTAATACCCCTCCTCACTTCAAATTTCATCCACATTTTCCTTATCAAGAGTCTATTTTCTCATATATAGACTTTTTTTTTCATGTTTTTTTAACTGTTACATCACATTGTAATCTATGTTCAGGATAAGGAAAAATCACCTTGTACTTGTTGACTTTCTAATCAAGTCATATGAGAAGAGGAGATACACTAAAGACTGATGATGTAGAATTTGATTCTCATCATAAATGTTCAGAGAGTAGTAAGGAATCAAAAATTTGTTGAAATAGTTTTTTTTTTTTTTTTTGGAATACTAGAAGCATAATCTCACTTGTTTAAATTTCAAGAGCTCCAATCACTCACATGAAATTGAGTTTATTAAAATAATACTTTTTATAATCTCATAGAAATTGAGAATTTGGTGAGAAGATACCAGACCCATTAGAAATTTATTTATGTATATTACACAACAAATCTTGACATGGGATTATCAAAAGAGTAGCGTAAATATAGAGTATAGAGGATTAAGTAATTGTAACTATAGAGTAGAGAGGGTTTAATTTGCAATTTATTATAAATGAATGTATATTTCAATGGCGATTTACCAAAAGGGATTGAAAACATCAATTGAGGGGCAAAAAAGATAGGGCACATTCACAGCGATCCAAGCATGCATGAAGCATAAAAGACGGGACTTTTGGGACAACAATGACCACATGAAACCTTACTTTAAGAATGCTTGGTTCTCATTAAAAGAATTCCCATGAAACTTGTCAAAACATGTTTCTTCCAAAGATCATAAGGAGAAAAACTAACCCTTATTCTGTACAATGCCTGAGGATGATCTTCAAGATCCTGTTTAGTGTAGCAACATATGAATCAAGACAAATTATGTTGCTCTATCATTGACCATAGAATTTTATTTTTTTGGACAAATTCAATTTATGAAAGCTAGCTAGCAAGCTAGAGCAATCAAAATTATCATAAATAATTAAGTATATATGAGTATGGTCATATGCTTTGTGTTTTTTTTTTCCATAAGAAAAACATTACTTTTGAAAAAGTCAAAAAAGCTAAAAAAGATGTCTTTAGCTTTTTGTTTATAAAGATGAATTTTTTTCCTCTTATTCTTTCATATCATGTTTCTCTAAAGGACTACCCACAAACCCTTGTTCCATAACAAGCCTATTTGGTTGAGGATCAACCATTTGGTTTGATATTTAGGCCATTCCTCCAACTTTAATTAGTTCAATTCTGTGTGTGTGTTTTCGTCACAGAGAGTGATTGAGATATTTATCTCTAAGCATTTTGTGGCGGCCTTGCATAGCTTTGCCGATAATAGAGTAATCAAATATGTGTGGTGTGTGATTAATTAGTCCAAGAGCAAAAAAAATCTGCTTGTACTGTAACTTTTGGCCTGAAATTTTCTCACAGCTTTGGGCAATGAAAGCAACCAGACGTGTTTCAGCATGCAGGCAAGATGATCGATCAGAACAACCAGACCATCCAATCCACATGCAATTGATTTAATTTTGCAGCTTACATGCTTGATGAAATGCACTTCCATGACTGGTCGGCCGGTCCAATTAATTTACGATACATCTACTTTGAAAGGCGACAATGAGTGACCCAAATAACCATCTTGATCTGTCAACGTCTTTCTAGGGCCAAGAAACCAGAACCATGCATTGATTTCTAGTAGACTTTTTAGCATGCATGAAGCTGAAGTCACTTTAACTGAAAGTGGCTATGTGAAACTAAACATGTTTCTTCATGTTTCAGAACTAGCGGTGGACAAAAATTCTACAGTAACTAGTAAGAAGCATCAGGATTTTTTTTCCTTAAAACAAATCTTCTGCTGCCGATATTCTCAATGGAAATATTAGATTCGAGGCAACTTTCATTGGCTTAAATCATATGGTCTTAATGAAACTGTCATGGTCATCTTCTTCAAGTGAGCCTCAACTAACTGGGTTACATATGGTTTTCATGCAGGGTCTGTGATGTGTCTTTTGGTTCATATGCAACACACACGTGTGTATGTGCCCACACCACACAGTGACTACTATTATGACCACTACGTCCGACACTTACATGTGGGGGCTATATATATTTTGATGGGCCAAATGATCTATTGACTAACGCCAATATCAAGAAAGGAAATTAAAGATGTTTATACTAAGTTTGCTGTTTGCATGTGTACCAGTTCTTTTGCAAGGAAAAAGTCCATGCCACCATTATCTTTTGCTCCTTTGGTGGGACTTCATATTACATACAATATATATATGTGTATATGTGTGTGTGTGTATTACATGATGATGACACTTCCGAAGATTTTGAGTTGTTTTGGATTTTATATAGCTAGAGTTAGCTGGGTATATAACATCAATTAACGATCTGCTAAACGGATAATTATATATCTCAGTTATCCTGTTTTTTGAATCAGCCAGTGGTTGGGAATTGAAATATTACCCACTAAGAGGCTTGCTATGATGAAAAAGGCTGGGCTATGAAACTACCTAACTATGGTAGATCTATGAAAATCAAAAGTAATTACTTGTAAAATAATTACTTTAGACCTTTTAAGAGTGACTTAAAAGCCTTGGTGGGTTCTACATAATTATTGTTGTCTTTGGACAGCTAGCTTGTGTTACATGCTCTCGAGACTTGGGATCCATAGCTATTTCCTTCTTATAACCCATTCCCCATCACTCAATTTGGTAAAAGTAAATAGAATCCAAGGAAGCACAGTTATTTTGCCCTTCACAAGCCCTGACACAAACCTATAGTTTTTCTTAGCATAAAAAATATTTGAAAAGAAATGTAGAGCCCACTCCTTCTCTATTACTTATGCTCAAATTCATATCCAGTGGGTCTCACCAAAAAAACTCCAAATCTTGTCCTTCATCATATAAAATTATGGCTGGATAGTTATTGATTATTCTAAACTGATGCTCTCATCGCCCTCCCACTAATCTCAATCATTTCAAACCCCTTAGATTCCTTTGCATCTTTAAAAGCCCTTACCCTTAGTGTTAGATATTGCTACACCTACTTCACCCATAACTCCTTCATCAACACTCTTGAAACCTTGCACTGCACCATGTCCATAGCGAGCGCTATAGACTCTGAAAGGAGTCACAAGAAGTTGTTCCACTACAGAAATGATTCAGGCGAGCTTGATGTGTTTGAAGCTGCAAGGTACTTCTCAGGATACAATGAAGCTGTTGGCTATAATGGCTCTGGTTTTACTCAGAAGATCATGAGAGAAGATAGGCATGGACACAGAGGCAGAATCAGCTTAGACATGCCCATGAGAAGCTTACTTCCTCAACACTTTCATGGGTTGGAGAAGCATGGGAAGGAGAAGAAACACAAGCAGCCTAGCTCTCCAGGTGGTAGGCTTGCCAGCTTCTTGAATTCTCTCTTCAGTCAATCTGCATCAAAGAAGAAGAAATCGAAATCAAGCAAGCAATCTATGAAGGATGAGGATGAGAGTCCAGGTGGGAGGATGGAGGAGGAGCAGCATTAGCCATTTCAGAAGCTCCAGTACTGCAGATTCAAAGTCCCTATATTCTTCATTCAGTTCAGGGTTTAGAACACCTCCTTATGTTCAAACCCCAACAAAAAGCTGTAAGGAATTCCGAACCTTCTTAGACCAGAAGCAGCAACCAGTGCCAGTGTCAAAATACAATA